CGCGTGCTCCTCATGATCGTAGTATCCTTTTGCAAAACTTCTTCTACTATTTTTCTTGAGTGTCCATTGTTTGTTAGATCTTCATTAATCTTGCGGGTCTAACTTGCCTGTGTGCTGCAGATGTCTTTAGCTCTATCAACGAGAGTTCGAATCACCACTTTTTTCGTGGTCACAAGATGATTTGAAGAATAATCTAGGTATTGTAAGAACGATTCGCAATGTTTATGTGACAGTATATTTATAAACTTCTAACCTAAGAAATTCTTCGTGCCTCAATATCAATATCAGTCAGAAATATTTTATATATAAGGTGCACATAACGCATTTTTCCCTGGACAGCTGGGTCAACGATGAATAATCAGATGGGGTTCCAATATTGGAGCTGTAGTTATTGAGGTGTGAAGTAACAAATAGACGTTCACCAGTCTTCTGAGAATATGAAGATATTTTGTGTAATGAATAATCTCATCATCACCTTGTCCTCTAGCAAATCATATTAGAGCGTATGAAACTTGTCTTCGATTATTAAAAAAATAATAATAATAAACTCTTCATAAAATACGCCCACCATGCAATCAGCAATTCTTTTCTTACTGATATTCATTTTACTGTAGGGCCTTATGCCAGGGGACAAAGATTTTCATTAACGGCAAATAATAGAGATACCAGAGCTTCAACCTGTCCGACTCTAACTTAAAAAAAAAGTTATATATAAGGCATACAGGGTCAAATGTGAAGTCTTTTCTGTATATAAAAGTTATACGGTCCAGTTATAGGGTTAGGAAGCGTTGTCAGATAGACTATCTGTAAGGCAGGGAAACAACGTCTATGGACCAATTGTATGAACGTGTTCAACTGACTTTCTTCTCAGATGGTTTAGTTTGTGTTGAACATAATCATCTATGAACTGATAACGGCGTTGCGTGACGTGAGATGTGCAGAGACAGCCTACTTCACGCCATTTCCTTCATTCCGATGCCATTGCCTATGCAGAAGCCTAAATGGCACGCATCGCGGCTGCTCAGAGACACTTTGTTATTCCAACTGTTGAACTACCTAAGGTTTGAAGAGCAGGGAAAAACCTCCTCAGGTAGATTGTTCCACAATCTGGACACTGTAGGCGACACAGGAGCGGTGGTACCGGCCAATTCTGGATGTACAAAGTTCGATACACTTAGGATGGGAAGTCGAAGTCATGCGGGTCTGTTTGGCAGGATTATCGCACGGTGGCATCGTGAAGGAGAGCTCTGAAGAGGGTCTCGAGATTGTACCTTAGAGAAGAGTCATTGGCCAGTCGAACAAACGTCTGAACAATATCGAGCATTTGTTATGTAGTCGAGGCGGCAGCATCCCAAACATGTGAGCATTAGCGTGGGAAGTGCAGAGTCAAACATTTTTCACGTGCATAGTACTAAACGAGCATTCACATACTCCATCTTCAACTAATACCATTTTTTTCGACGTGTACATATCTTTATTTCCATGCTTTTACCCGAGTGCTCATCGCATGTAACGACAGTCAGATTCTTTTGGGACCTTCATCCTTCATACAGTCCCCGTCTTTCCAGATACATCTGAGAATTGGGAGAGCAGGGAATTCCCCAGACACATGAGTGGCAACTAAATAGGGAACAGCATCGAGCGTTTCGTTTTGCTCACTAGGCGGCGTTGCGAGCTCTCTAGAAGGAGATTGGGGTATTCTGCGCCCATATATGCGATCAGACCAATTTTTACGTGGTCTTTTTTCCTGCGACGCCAAGTCAGCGTCGTGCCTCAAGTTGGAGATTATCCAGTATATTAATATTTTTCTTATTTTCAATCTGCAACACTGCAAATGTAGTTTTAAAGTGAAGTATTAGTAGAGCCAGAACATAAATAGAAAGTTACCATGATTAACACAAGGAAGCTAAATAGATCTTGTTCAAGCGAATATTGAACTGCTGTAGATAAGACCACCAGGACGTTAAATTCAAATATGACACTAAAACCATAGAGAAGTGTCGTCTGTCGAAGTTGAGATGAAGAAACGATGTTAAGTAGGTTGACTTTACACGAAACGCTGTCATCAGTTCATAAAGGATTATGTCCGGCATACGTTCGCCTTTCTGACATCTGGCAACGTTGCTATGGCTAATCTCGCTACTCGTCAGCCACGACAGTGATGATATACACATACCATATAATGTCGAAAACCGCGACAAATATGATTTAATTGAATTCCTATTTATAAATGTCAGCGTTAACTTGAATTTAGAAGAAATATGCCTAATGTTTTGCAGGTTTACTCAATAGCAACTTTAATTTCAAAAAACAGTGGACGCCACTGCTTCCAGCGATATATATTCAGGAGAAAGGGAGAATGGTGTTGTGCATGGAAATAGGTATATCATTTCTGCGGAGGTGTTATTGGCTTGGGAAATGGATTTTCCACCATGCTTTAAACTATGCCTCTTCATCTATCGCATACACGACAGGAAATATCATACTGATATCAAAAATCGATATGTTCGTGTTAGTTTTACACAAAAATTATCCAGTTGACCTCCCGAAGACGGTTAATGCCGGCACTAAATAATCAGAAAGGTGCCCACGTGTTGTTTAATAAGTTCAACCATTAATTAACGTATTCTGCCTGGAAAAAGAAACCTAGCAGCGACTTCCTCGCTGACGAGAAACCTAGAGGTTGTCACTACTTGAGGACGCAACAATCTGTTACAGTTTAATGCTTCCAAGACACAGTTGACTAACAGGATGCGTTCTAGTAATCATTCAGTTTCGATGGATCCAAATGACAGACCAATATTTCTAGAACATGTCCTTGGACATAAGAACTGGAGTGGGGGTAACAGGTCTGAAGAATCAACAATACCATGTGAAAGTATAAGTTGTGTTTTCTTCTCTCACTCAAGGAGGCAACTTGGAATATTTCCAACAGTACTTGGTAGTCTGAGTCACGCCGAGGATAAACTAAGGCCCGGTTTTTCAATCGCAAATTAACATTTTGGTTAGTTAACTATCGCCAGGAAGTTAACTTGTAGTTTCTTGCAAATGCGTTTTTCAAGTATTTTGACAGCGTCAGTTAACTTACCGGAAGTTCAATATATATTTATGTTGCAGCCCTGCATCTGCGGTTCTTAGATATCGTGTTCTATGCATTTTGTGCATTCTGTGTCCCGTGTGATACGTCATGCATGATAGTTCGGTTGAATGAAATTTCTTAAAACAGTCAAAATTGAAATCCGGATAGTTCATTAAAAACCAATAAAACATAAAACATAAATCCTTCGTCAAGCACGGTAAGTTTTTTCAAACATTGTTCGTACAAATGTTTAGTAGTAGACCCTATAGAAGGCATTATAGAAATGGTGATAAAAAAGGTTGCAAATGCAATTTCTAATGAACCATACTAACGTCAAAAAACAATTAAGTTGTAAATATCTGCTAAATATCATATTTTCCACCTTTTTTATCACTCCTATAATCTACAATCCAAAAATAAAGGGGATACACAATACCTTTATTCTTGTTGCCAAAATTTCTCAAAAACTGTTTTCTAGCATGGAGAAAGAAATCAAAAAGAGAGCTCAAAATTTCTCGAAGAATGAGGAAATGATGCTAATATCATTGAGGAGCATCGAACAAGAATTCCAAGCCCTAACAGGGTGCCACCGAGAGGCAAAAACTCTACGGGATAAATATTTCAATTTAAAGAAAAAAACATAAATCAAATTTGCTACAAACAAAAGCAATATAATCAAGACAGGGGGAGGTTCATGCCAATTGCAAGCATTCGATTTGATTGATACACAATTACAAGAAATAATGGGACCACAATTAGAAGGTTTGACAAACAATTATGATGATGACTGTAGTGACCAAGAAGAGGTGGTTATTGAACATGGTAAGTCGCATTTCTGTTGATTGAAGCATTTTTTAATTATTCATTTTTTAGTTCCTGATGCAAAGAACTGTGATGACAGTGAAGTGGTCTCCAAGAATGGGAAATGGAGCTCCTGTACTCCCCAACAACTGAAGAGGCCAAAAACTACAAAGCTATCATGCACGAAAACAGTACAAAATAAAAAATATATTTCTGTTAACTATCTACTAATGGATGAAAAGCTGATTTTTGTGAAACGACAAAAAGAAAAATTCATCGAAGAACACAGTAAAAAAATGGAAATATATCAAAAAAAGGTCCAGCTGTTAGATTTACAGATCAATGCATTGAATAAGTAGAAAACAAAGAATTTATTTTGTTAATTTCTGGAATATTCTCACTTTCACTCATTTTTTTTGTATTTCGCATTTTTGAGGATAATTTATGTTATTTTAATAATAAACTGTTTTCAGAAAATCATGTTTATTTTCATTCTGTAGTTACAATAATAATGGGATAATTCATATGTGTGCGCCTTTTCTGGGGAACAACAATTTTGGCCACAACTCTTATCCACTTGCCATGGATTATCACAGATCTTATTCTAACCAACTTTTATCTAATATCGAGTCATTCACTGAGCATCAGTGAATGTATTGAATCCATTTACAAATTTGCAAAATAATTATTAATAAGGTAAGTTCTTATAACATTGTTGATTGCATTTTGTGGCAACCTAATATTTACAGGATCTGTCTCCACATTATCTACATAAACCATGTTAATAGCATTTTCCTGTTCAGGACTAATAGGGGGCATAGCTTCATTATTAGAACAAGCAATATTATGTAGCAATGCTGTTCCTACAGTAATTGCTTGAGCTGTATCAAGATGAACTCTGAGACCCATAGCTAGAGAGGGAAATCTTCTTTTCCAAACTCTATAGCTTCTCTCCATAACATTGCGAGTACGAATGATAGATTCATTGTATTCAGCAGGAGTTGTAGTTGTATTTAACGGTGTCATCAAATAGCGTTTAATAGGATAACCTTTGTCACCAACCAACAAAGAGTTTCCAAAGTGACCTGATTCAAATTGTCTGCAGAGCTGAGAATTTCTGAAAATGTATGAATCGTGGGCTGACCCAGGCCACCGACATACAATATTACACAGCTTCAAATCTGCGTCAGAAACAGTTTGCACGTTCAGTGAAAAAAACTGCTTTCGATTTCTGAAGAGCTCTGCATGGCTTCCTCCGGGAGAAACAATTTTTATGTGCGGGCAGTCAATTGCACCTATGCATCGAGGAAACCTAGCTATGTTATAAAAGGATTGCTTTGCTTTGGCAAGAGCCTCAGGAGTGTCCGGTATTTTTATGTAATTACTTCTTTTACTCGCTAGTACTTTCGAGACTCTTCGGACTGTTTTGGATGCAGTTGATTTGGAAAGCCCAGCAAAATCACCAGCAACAGCTAAAAAACTTCCATTGGCGTAATAGCGCAGTGATAACAACAGCTGCTGTTGGGGCGTTAAGCAGTTATTCCTGGAATGACAAAGACATGTAGAAATATGGAAATAAAGAATAATATAAATCGTCATAGACTTCGTCCAGGAGAGTTTCTACAGTCCTTTTTGTAAGACGAAATCTTGCAAGGAAATCGAGGTCATCAAATTCATCAAAGTAATTCGGCCGATGGCAGATTATTTTTGGCCTTCTCGGGTCTTCGTCACTGCTATACGCATTCACATCGTAATCCATAAACATGTTTATAGCTTAAATTAATCGATAGATTGATATGGATTTGTTGTGATTTTTTGAATAAACGTCAAAGTTTATGTCAAAGACGTCAGGTATTGCTATTTAACTACAGCCTTTCTAGTTAACTCATAGATGATCTGGTTAAAGTTAACTTCCGTTTTACTATAAACATGATATTGAAAAACGCTTTTTCATAAATAACTATAAGTTAAGACCAAGGTCGTAGCTAAGCTGCGATTGAAAAACCGGGCCTAAGCCAATCTTGAAAATCGGATACTTAAGAAACTTCTTTTGAACATGATCGAATTGGTTTATATTACGGTTATAATAAAGACTCCAAAACAACGAAGCATGTTCCAATTTGGAACGTACATATACAAAGTATAATGTTTTTAGTAGGTACAGTCCAGTCTTTAGTAAGCTTACAGTTTCTAACAATAAAACCTAAAGCACTATTTACAATTTGAGAAATGTGATAGTCATTCATGTCATGTCACGCCTAAATCACAAACCTTTTTGAGCCAACTGATTAAATTTGCTACTATGTTATAAGGTGGTTTTCGACAAAATGTAACCGCTTTGCATTTAGCAATATTCAGATGCAGTTTATTCAATCGACACCAATCTTAGCATAGATAATTGATACTGTAAGTATTCACAACCCGAGATGCTGTTGATTTCAAAGAACAATTTCAGGTCATCGGCAAATATTAATGTTTCACAATGAATATTGCTACTTATGTCGTTAACAAAGAGCAAAAGAAAGAAATGGTCTCAAATTAGAACCCTGAAGATGCTGTATACAGAAAAGACTCGAAGATATTTAATGATGTGAGTAAATGAAGGTTATGTAAATATAATTTTAATATAGATATCGACTTTTCAGTGAAACCAAACAAATTGAATTTGGCAAGAAGTATGCTGTGGTTAACTTTATTAAATGCCTCTGAAAAACCTACGTACACTAGGTCCAACATCCAAAATATTTGATGCCAATTGGATAAAAATTCAGATATGTTACGAGCAAAGAGGTAAGTCCGGTTATAAAGAATTATTTCGAAAAGCTTAGCAAAATTATTAATGATTGAGATTGATCGATAATTTATAATTGAACCTCTGTCACCTGATTTGTAAATGGGACACACTCTGGGTTCTTTCCATTTATTTGGAATGCTTGATGTGGTTAACATGCTCTTGAATAGAATAATCAAAAATAATCAAGGCATGCATTATACCAGGAACAGTATTTTTGACTAAAAAAGAAAAACTCATAGCTGCCCTGATGTCGTCTTTAGTTTCAGCTTTTAGCTGCATCGTACATTTCTTGTCACATCGTAGTTGATATCAATAATTGTCAGCCATATTATTTTCACGGTTGCAGGTTGAATCACCTTGAAATATATCTTACTATGTTTTATAAGAATAAATGAAATTACGATAGGATGCACGATGTCGCTCAAACCTTTTTTATACACTGCGCAATTATCTAAATCATCACGATCAACAATTAGCACACATTATATGCGTTGGCCTTGGGTTCTGCATATGACGGTGACTCAACACGACATATTAAACAATACCACCATCCTTAATTGCTGCCTCAATTATGAATATGCCAGTGGCATTACACGCATCTGAAATGTCTCATGCATAAAAATGTAGGCGTGAAGGTGTTCATAGCGTAGAAAACGATAAAAAAAATGCGGAGAATAATTTGGACACGTGAATTCGAATATGACCAACGAATCCAAGTAGATTAGGAGCCAAGCCCATATATTTAGAGCATACTTTTGGCTAGTTTTACTATCATTGCCTATCAAATTGGCGCATGATCGTTATCATCATTAGGATCATCACCATCATCTACAAAGTTAACTTTATGATAGAACGTTTAGGCATGAAGAAAATATTATTTTGCCTAAGAAAGGATGCATTCATTATATTTATTTCATGAGCATAGTACCGACCTATAGGCAGTCAAGTTGATATAACATGTAACCAGAGGATTCACTCCACACATGAGTACTGGCAAGTTGCCTTCGGATGTCTCAAAAGCCTCTAACAAGGAAAATAGCCTTTTTTGCTTCTAAAAATACTAAAATCCTTTTTGGAAGAAGTTTTGTCGACAAAACAGACAGTTCGGGCTGGTGCTCCTCAGGGCTCGGTCCTAGGAACAATCCTTTACTCGCTCTTCATCCACTACGTCCCTTTCCCTAGCAACTGTGAAGTCAAACTCCACACTGACGACACTGCACTTGTCGCCCAGTTGTGTACTGGCGATCTGGTTCACGATGAGTTGCAGAGTGCGGTGAAAAAAGAAAATTTATTATACCAAAAGACGGATGGTAGACGAAAATCGTATACCATACAAAAATTCTTCCATGTATTTGGGATCCTCCTTCATAAAGGCATGACCTCCATACATACAGCAGTCTTGAAAACAAAATCTCAATTTGCGTTTCAGCAAGTATGTCCTTTACGATGTAGATCCTCCAAATTGAGTGTGATATGCAAAATTCGACTATACCTATACGATGATTATAGACCAGCGGTTACATATACAACATGTGCAGCTTGGTATTTTTCTGCCAGGACACACATGCAAAGACGAACAATTCGCATCGTTCCATGGTATGTCTCAAATGAGACACTACACAGAGACCTTGACATTCCTTACTTAAGGATTATGTCAAGCTTCAGACGTAGCGACGTCATGATCAAGCGGAATTGCACAGCAACCCCCTGTTGTGGGACCCAGTGGACTAAACAGTAGAGCAAGTACGTAAATATCCAAGGCTCGCACTGTGGTTAAAAATTTGTGCGAACCTTTAGTAAACCCAAAATTATACTAACAAAACCTTAATCAAAGTTTGTTTTTAGTTCATCTCAAAATTAATCCGTGTACCAACTCAAAAAGTCTGAGTGTTTTCTCTTAAACTGATACATGTCTGTTTTTCTTTGCTCTTCTCCTTTTTTCTTCTCTTTCCCTTTTGCTTTTTGCTTGACACTGCTTTCTGGGCGACCAGGACTGACAGATTAGACTAATGGGCAAAGGTCCTACGGCACGGGTATCACGTATCTTAAAAAGTGACATTTCGTCGGTTTTTGTGACATATCGCAGATTTTTCCACAAGATGGTAACTTAGCTCAAGCTGTCGTACCCTTGTTGTGAACTAGGTTTGTAGTTGTAGGTGTTGCTTAAACGTCAGCAAACTTGGAATGGAAAATTCGCACACTAAAAACTACCTCGTCTGCAATATGACATCTTTTTGAGGTTTTTTACATAATACAAAAAATTTGGAATGATTTCGCAAGCATCATTCTTCTCCACTGCCCTTAAGAAATGTTCTCCTGATTGAATCTGTTTCTTATACCGAAGCAGCCGCGGGGAGAAATGCCAGGGCATCGCGGCTGCTACGAGGAGCTTAAGAAAACTTAAAAATCCGATTAATGAACTGCCGAACGTAAGTAGACCTCCTCATGTAGATTTCTTCATAATCTCGATAGCCTAGTGCCAAAGGAGTGGTCGTATCGGCCAGTTCTGGAAGTCGGTCTGGCAGGCACATTGCGTGGTGCCATCATAGAGGAGAGCTCTGAGTAGCATAGCCCGGTGGTACAGCGGTAGAAGCGATCATTAGAGAAGAGTCTAAACAAATAGCCTAGGTTTTTCCAGCAGCTGCCGCTATTGACGATGTGTTCCTACCAGACCAAGTCGTTGGTGATCTGGACTCCGACCAGCCGAAATGGACAGCTCTTTGTTGCAACTCGGCCATCCATCCAGCAGAGATCGGCTTGTGATGTTAAACAATTATTGCTACGTATTCACGGAGTTCGCAATGCTGTTTCTATCTAAGCCACCCAAGAGTCAAGGATTAATCCGCTCCATATTCTAGTAATGTAATGCCTAATACAGGAATGTTTTATACTGTAGAACACACGCTTAGCTGCCTCGCGCAACGCCGATATTATTTATTTTTGGTAGATTTACGCCGAGACGAGTGTTTTGGGCAAAAGATTTACAGCGATATCAATCTTTCGGCGCCACGGAATAACAGGAGGCTTAATATGGAAATTATATGGCTTGGTGGCGACCTCCTCACTGAAATTGCCTTTTGGCTGGGACTCTTTAACAGCGCCGCTATAAGGAATAGTCGAGTCGAAAACCTCGCACTCAAAGAAGGAAATTTCATATTCAGAGTTGGGACTTTCCTTTACAAAGCGTATAGGGTAGACGATAATAAGCAAGTTGTAACTTTCCAAAACCACATGACTTGTTACTATTTTTGGCACACATTTTGGTTACGATATAGTTTTGGTATCGATCATGTAAAGCACTACTTTTGACACTGATTGACAGTCAAGCTCATGTCGGTCATTTCCTACTGAAGCCTTTGTGGAGTAGGTGTATCTGCCCTTCATTTGGTTTCCAAATTTTGGGATATTAGGCCCCAGTCACCAGTTTATGGGGTAGTACTCTTTTTCGTACATACTTTACCTTCAGTAGCTTGTCTGTCTTTGCTGTTTGGTGCTACTCGGTCCATTTTTATGGGATTTTAGCCTCTTCAACGGTAAGTTTTTTTAAAACCATCTAACCACGTGTATTAATGCATGTACGGAAGAAGTTGGCTCAAGTGGGCGTCAAGTTGCTTTACAATATCTGCTTCCTTTTAGTGAGAAGGCATTGAGA